GTCTTAATTGTAATACTGCACCTTCAAGTAAACAGGTATCAAAAGACGAATTAAAAACTGATCTAATGTTACCTGTCTCTAAATACAAATTTGGTGTTTCTGCGATTGTAAGCTCGGGTCTTTTCTCAAACGGCCTTAAATGGGCTTATTGTATAGAGAATGCTATGGACTTATCTTCTAAAAATCGTATAAAACGATTTGATTTAATCTCGATCAGTTCCAGTTCAATTAAAGTAACCTGGGCACTTGATTGCCCCGCGTTAAGTTACTTTATTCAAAAATATCAAATACAATTTTGTCGTGCGGATCGTCCCTGTTCGGAAACTTTAACCATTATTGATGTTGAGAAAAAAGCAGTTGCCGTTGAAATTGATGATTTAACGCCCGGTACAACTTACAATTTTACTCTTCATGCACTCACTGATACTGGTCAGGAAATTGAAAGTCCAATGCGAACTTTTGAGACCAAGATTGATTCGACTTCATTAATTTTCACCATTCTAATCATAATTGCTGGAGTCATCACCATTTTATTAGTTGTATATAGTTTATTTGTTTGCAGCATGAGAAAACGTAAAGATCAAAAAGAATTAAAGAAAGCTGTTGATAGCAATTGGATACCAAAGATGCCTTCACGATTAAAGGGAGATGCCAATATTTTGCTTAATCCTTTGTGCCGAGAAACTCGTAATGAATACGAAAATAAAGAGTATATGAATGCAGATTCAACAAATACAACCAAATTCATTGGCAACGGGTTAAATACAAAGTTAAAGATGGACGAAGCAATAGCAAACAATGGAAAAAATGTTATCATTTTGTCAACCATCAGTGACAATCAGTTGCACGATGTAATAAATATAAGATCATCTTCATCTTTACCATCAACCTCATCTTTACCATCATCTTCATCATCATCATCATCATCATCAACACCTATGTCATTAGGATCAGTAGACCCTGATGAAAGATTTGATTCATCTAATTACAAAAAAATAGATGGTACAAATGTAAAAAATATTACAGCCAAAAAAGAGAGGAAATCTTCTGATGGTTGTGGCTGTGATTCCGAAGATTCTGGTTACAGTGCTAGACTCTCAGATAAACATCCTTATTATAGAGCTGCCTCATTCAATATAAGTGGAATCATAAGATCTATTAACGAAGATTCACCTTACATTGTACCTGATATACCTTCAGGTATACCCCTTGAAAAGATCTCAAACAATGCTTCACCAGTAGCCCGTAGTCTTTCTGATTCCGATTTAAGTTATAATGGTTATACCGTAATCACAATTGATTCACCATCGAAACAATCAAATGGCTATTTATCAGATCTCCATCGTGACCACGGAAACGACGACCAGAAAGACATTCAAATTGTTTCAAATGGCTATGTTTATGGCTAAAGATATAAATATTTACTAGTCTTTTATGGTCATGTATATCGTCTATTTTAATGTACTAAATCATTAACCATCATTTATTTTTTGCCAATCAATCATCTTCATGAATCTTGCATCAGTATCCAACTGGTTCAACCAAACTGAATTCCAGATCTTATTTTCACAAAATTGGAATAAAATGTGTATCTAAATTGAGACTAATAGTAAAGAGTCTGCTAGATGAGGAGCATTACAATGATAAAGCGCTATGTAACCTTGGCAATGATCCTCATCACCAACATGATTCAATTCATTTTGCTCCTTTTTTTTGTATCATTATCCTTCTGTCTTTTACATCTTCTATTGTTATCCTCCTCTTTTTTTGCCATCATCATCAATAATAATAACTTTTCATAGCTTTGACTTTCTTTCTCATTCTGTCTCTATTAGACTCTTCCTCATCTCTTCATCTCGGTGATGGATAAAAACAAACTGTTACAGAAAGGCTTGTTGTTTTATCATGCTTTTAATCAACTGTTATAACTGAGTTAATTCATATCAGGCTTCATGCAACGGTTTACTTCATTTGTTTAACTCCAAGCAAACTCTCGTTTGTTTTATAAATCATAATCTAGATCCAAGAAAGATCATTGAATATGATTTTTGCGTAAAGTGCATGTGATTTTGAATCAATCAAGATAATCATATGACACAAATCATTAAAAATCCTTGCTCATATAATATTACAAACAATGTTAGATGCATGTGAATAAAATATACAAAGTAATATAAAACTAAAACTAACAAAAAGCTATCATCGCTTATCATCATTAGATAACTTATTTTGTTGATAATGACGATCATATGGGTAGAAGCAGAATCAATCATTAAAATGAACATTGATCATTATGTCGTCTCTTTTATACCTCAAAGTTTTGCTGATTAATAAATTATAATTTATAAATAATACAATAATCTGGATAATGATGATTAAAGTCAATCCTTTATTGTTAATTCATCGAGCTATAGACTAACAGGTTATGAGTTTTACAGCTTTTGCTGTTGAAGTAAATACAAAAATAGATTATCCGCAAATGAATAAACAAAGAAACAATTAAATAAGCCACAAAATTGAGACGGATTCAAATTAAGCTGTCAAGTTGATTAATTTATTTGTTTATTTGCTGGTAAACTGAACTGTGTTGGTTTGCTGCTTGCAAAAGTAACAACTGATTTGGATTGATTAATAAATGAATGTTTAGATTGAAAATTTAAATTGAAAAATGGTTCAAGTTTGGAAAAGTTTGGAAGCAAAATTTATGACCAAATTTTGTGTCATGTCATTAAAATGTTCAACAAGGTTTTAACTTGGTATCAACATTTTAATGTTAATGATAATGATCCTAGTTTGAGGGCTACAATTCACCACGAATGATGATGATGATGGACACAAAAAATGATGAAGGTCAATCATTATTTTGGACTATAAAAAGTGAAAGAAGCGTCTCGATGAAAGGAAGAAAAGGGAACAAGAAAAGAGGAAGTTCGATGATTATGATGATGATGTTAATGGTAAAGAAAGTAGAAAGTAAATCGACCTGAGACAATATATTATCCGGAAAAGGACTGCAAGACCATCGACTATAACATTTAGTGATCGATTTTTGTTCCTTTTCCAACAAAAGATAATCTATTTTATTTTATGATCAAAATAATCGACATAAATTACATTAAACTCAGCTTACAGAGTGGTTAAACTCTTGAAATTTGAATTACAATTGTAAATGTGAAAAATTATGATTATTATCAATTTATGGAATCATTTTTGAGGTCATTTGCTTTTGCTTCATTGATCATGTAAACTATTTCCATGTAATATTTATCCGGAACAGGGAATATAAAAAGACTGATCAGGAAGGATGAGAAATTAACAGAATCAAATATTGTTCTCTGATGAGCTGAATTTTTTATCCAGTAATTGGACCAACATTTCAATTTTCATCAGATGATCAAAATTTAGTCAACTTTCATCAATCATTGCCTAAATATATTATAATGAACCATCTGATGAGTTTCGATGGTGTACTGAAGAGCTGCGAAATAAAATGGTTATAACGATGATTTTAAACTGCGTTTTGTTCATAAACTTGAAGGCAATGTATTACTAAGATGTTGGGTCAAAACAGGAATCGGTTCAGTCTAAAAGTTACATTTTACAATTTGAAGTGAAACAGAAGAAACTGTTCTTAGAAACTGTTGCTTCTATTGCTTTTCACTTTGCTTTCCTCAAAAATTCTGCATAATCTCTTCTGGATGGAAATTAAACGAAGGAATAATTCAAGTTCAATTATCTATAAACTTGTCTGTATTCAGAGACTTACACATTAAGTGAGACAAGGCTAGTTAAAGATTTTAGCTCAAAACAGATTTCGGTTTTGACCTATCACCCTAATAAAACATTTACTTCAAGTTTATAAAAAACGCAGTTCAAAACAGCCATTAAAACCATTTTACAATTTGAAGTGAAACAGAAGAAACGGTTCTTAAAGGTTTGGGACCAAAACAGCAAAAGTGAAAAGCAATAGAAGAAACTGTTCTTAGAAACTGTTTCTTCTGTTTCACTTCAAATTGTAAAATGTAAACTTTTTGACTGAACCGATTCCTGTTTTGACCCAACATCTTAGTAATACATTTACTTCAAGTTTATGAACAAAAACGCAGTTTAAAATCAACATTATAACCATTTTATTTCGCAGCTCTTCAGTACACCATCGAAACTCATCAGATGGTTCATTATAATATATTTAGGCAATGATTGATGAAAGTTGACTGCTAATTGAATATCTGATGTAAATTGGGATGAAAATTTAAATGTTGGTCCAATTATTGGATAGAAAATTCAGCTCATCAGAGAACAATATTTGATTCTGTTAATTTCTCATCCTTCCTGATCAGTCTTTTTATATTCCCTGTTCCGGATAAATATTACATGGAAATAGTTTACATGATCAATGAAGCAAAAGCAAATGACCTCAAAAATGATTCCATAAATTGATAATAATCATAATTTTTCACATTTACAATTGTAATTCAAATTTCAAGAGTTTAACCACTCTGTAAGCTGAGTTTAATGTAATTTATGTCGATTATTTTGATCATAAAATAAAATAGATTATCTTTTGTTGGAAAAGGAACAAAAATCGATCACTAAATGTTATAGTCGATGGTCTTGCAGTCCTTTTCCGGATAATATATTGTCTCAGGTCGATTTACTTTCTACTTTCTTTACCATTAACATCATCATCATAATCATCGAACTTCCTCTTTTCTTGTTCCCTTTTCTTCCTTTCATCGAGACGCTTCTTTCACTTTTTATAGTCCAAAATAATGATTGACCTTCATCATTTTTTGTGTCCATCATCATCATCATCATCATCATCATCATCAACAACATCATCATTCGTGGTGAATTGAAGCCCTCAAACTAGGACCATTATCATTAACATTAAATTGTTGATACCAAGTTAAAACCTTGTTGAACATTTTAATGACATGACACAAAATTTGGTCATAAATTTTGCTTCCAAACTTTTCCAAACTTGAACCATTTTTCAATTTAAACTTTCAATCTAAACATTCATTTATTAATCAATCCAAATCAGTTGTTACTTTTGCAAGCAGCAAACCAACACAGTTCAGTTTATTCAGCCAATAAACAAATAAATTAATCAACTTGACAGCTTAATTTGAACCCGTCTCATTTTGTGGCTTATTTAATTGTAACTTTATTTATTCATTTGCGGATAATCTATTTTTGTATTTACTCCACCAGCAAAAGCTGTAAAACTCATAACCTGTTAGTCTATAGCTTGATCAATTAACAAGTCGTAATACCTAATCAGCTGCATGATCAACAATTAATCGATTGATGACTTTGATCATCATTATCCGGATTATTGTATTATTTATGTATATTTAAACAACGATTGTGAGGTGATATGATGGTTAGATGCACGAGGGCGAAGCCCGAGTGTATTCACTATCATATCACCGATCATTGTTAACAAACCCATTCAAATAACTAGTGCTAATAACCAAAAATATCAGTCGCAATAACTAGCGGTTATCAAGCACTGAGTTATGTAAAAATTATAATTTATTAATCAGCAAAACTTTGAGGTATAAAAGAGACGACATAATGATCAATGTTCATTTTAATGATTGATTCTGCTTCTACCCATATGATCGTCATTATCAACAAAATAACTTATCTAATGATGATAAGCGATGATAGCTTTTTGTTATTAAATTACTTTGTATATTTTATTCACATGCATCTAACATTGTTTGTAATATTATATGAGCAAGGATTTTTAATGATTTGTGTCATATGATTATCTTGATTGATTCAAAATCACATGCACTTTACGCAAAAATCATGTTCAATGATCTTTCTTGGATCTAGATTATGATTTATAAAACAAACGAGAGTTTGCTTGGAGTTAAACAAATGAAGTAAACCGTTGCATGAGGCCTGATATGCATTAACTCAGTTACAACAGTTGATTAAAAGCATGATAAAACTACAAGCCTTTCTGTGACAGTTTGTTTTCATCTATCGCCGAAATGAAGAGATGAGGAAGAGTCTAATAGAGACAGAATGAGAAAGAAAGTCAAAGCTATGAAAAGTTATTATTATTGATGATGATGGCAAAAAAAGAGGAGGATAACAATAGAAGATGTAAAAGACAGAAGGATAATGATACAAAAAAAGGAGCAAAATGAATTGAATCATGTTGGTGATGAGGATCATTGTCAAGGTTACACATCATCATAGGATCATTGTGATCATCCTCATCTAACAGACACTTTACTGTTCCTCCAAATTTAGGTTTACATCTGATTAACAAGACTTTCAATCCCATCAACATCACTGGTTTCAATAGTAACCTGCTTTTGTCAGTAAAGTTGAATCAATCGATAAATTCAAAGAGTGTGTTTAAAGACAAAGGATCAAAGTGAGTTCACAGTGAGTTAAAGACGGAAAAAATCGTTAAAATTAGAAGCGCAAAAAATCCCATTTTAAAGGAGGGTTAACCAGAGAAAGAAATGAGATGAAAATGAAGATGAAAGACGAGAGAAAGAAGAAGAGAGTAAAAGCTTTTTTTGACTTTTCTTAAATCACAAGATTCTGTTTCTTCTTCTTCTTCTCCTTTTTGCTTCTCTTCATCCCTTTTTTTGCTCACCATTACATTAAAATATGTTTCCACTCTTTACTTGTTTCCTTGCATTCAACCATCTTTTCACCATCTAAAAGCTATAAAAATAAAACTTTTTTGCTATATCTGTTAAATAATCATGATCAACTGATTTAACGATTATTCTGGTACTGTAAATTAGTCAATGAACATTCATAAAACAATTAAATCTCTGTTATATCCTTGATCTATCCAATTATCTCTCCATATCTTGTTATGCCTCTCTATTTACCATTCTCTGTCTTTCTACTTTCTTTCCTTTCTCTACTCTTTCTGTGCATGTTTTTATAAAAATATCACATTGACTATATGACTGCAATGAGACTTGCCTCTCGTTTCACATTATCAACGTTTATTTATCTTTTCATTCCTTCATTTTTGTTTAATTATATTGTTCGTGCTGATTGTTTCACCTAAATTATGTGTTGCTCTGTTTTATATTTAATTAATTGTCTACATTTAGTGTTAAAATTTACCTGAATCTGTGTCAAATCAGCAATAGTTTTGCTCAACTAATTTTACAACACAACGTTTTATGCCCAGTCTTATTTTCATGTGAGTTTTCAATATCTTCTTGTAAAGATAAAGCTTTCCAATGTTTAGCCACATATTAAATGAAATTGTGTTTGTTTGTTAGTTTCCATTATCTTGACTGTTTCAATATGGATTAATCTGTGTTTGGTGATATGTCTCGATGAACTATACATATTTAGTCAATGTTTCTATTATCATCGTGTGAAATCATTTTACTCGTTATTTATTACAAAATACTTAAACCTTGGATTCTCATTTATGATCATCATTTTTCTGTTTAAACTCAATCTCTATTTTATAGTATTACTGAATCAATCAACCATTTAATTTTATACTTGGTTTTATTCTTCTTTCAGATTATGTGATTGATCGAGAAATTATTACCATTGGCCTCTTAAATTGTCTGCAATCTTTATCCACATGACGATGGTGGACCATGGCATTTTAATGTTTGGAAGGCCTTGTAGCAATAACCTGATTTGTTTCACTGCTATTCTCTTGATAGTCTTAATAAATTATGGGATTAATCCTGCGTTGGGCTGTGATGGTTTGTTCTCCAATATTGGAACTACTTCAAATGATATGACCATTCAAGAAGGTGATCCATTTGAAATAAATTGTACATTATCCTCTTCTCGTATCACCCTCTCTGGTAAACAAGTTGAAGCCAACTCCAAAATGTTATTGATGAAAAAAAATGGAACTCGAATACCCAATGTAAAAATTCGTATCATTGATGACCTAACAGCCCAGTTTAAAGTTAGACGGACATCCATGAAAGATAACGGGTTTTATTCGTGTTACTTTGATCCAGGAGTGAGTGACCTGAAAGCAGCCTTGGTTTGTGGGACTGAAGTTAAAATTGCTCGTAAGTTTATACCATCATTAAATATGTAATAAATATGTAATAAATTGTCCTAATGTATGTCTTTTTGTTTATCTTTTCACTCTCTTTAGATGCGCCAAGTGAAAATGATGATTTCCAGTTTAGTTGCACCGGCTATGATTTGAAAAATTTCACGTGTGATTGGGAACCTTTGAATTATAATGTTAAAACTGATTACCATTTACACCTATTAGTCGGAGGTAACTTCAGTTTTTCGTCTTGCACTGATAACGACAAGCCTTCTTGTACATTTTCCATCAAAGATGAATCGCCTTACCTCATTTCGGACAAGAAATTACGGTTCCGTTTAGATGTTATTAATAAAATTGGCTCACTTTCCAAGACCTATGAAATTGATCATTACTCAAATGTTATTCTTGGCCCTGTCTCTCAAATTAAAACCATTGATATTGGAACTCAGAATGTAATGCTCAGCTGGGAGCCACCTACAAGTATTTTGGACGATTTTTATCTTGAAAACATTACTGAATACTCCATAAATGTTTATCAAGATAATTATCCAACTGATTTTACTGCATCAAAAAAGGATTATACTGTGAAAATGAACATTACTTTAAAAAAACCAATAGGACAATTCATAGTGAAAAATGAATTAAATTTTAATGTAACATCTTTAATTCCGTTTACATCTTATCGTTTCTCAATTCGTTGTCGAATGGTAACTGACACTGGACAAAGTCAATGGGGTAAAGAGTTGGAAAAAATTGTAACCACAAAACCTGATGGTTGGTATTCAATTGTATACACTATATGATTTTATTTGATAGTGATTTTATAGTGATAGATCAAGATAGCAAAAAAATGAAATAACAGAGGTAGATGAATCAAACATTTATTATCATCATATGACAATTATCTTCTCGTTATGTTGAATGAAGAAGTTCAATTTAATTTTGTCATTCAATGCAATTCAATTACATTAATTTTTGCTATTTTGTATTTACTATTACACATTCAAAATTATTTTTATTATAACGATCTCTATTTTTTTCCGACAGTTCCATACAAAAATCCTAAATTTGAAGTTGGGGCGTTTGAAGTGACCAATCTAAGAGAGGATAAAAGAAATATCATGGTTTACTTTGAACCAATGGATCCACTGGACAGCAATGGCCCGAACTTAACTTACGTTCTATCAGTCAGACCTTTCGCTGTGCATGTAGCCCCATATAACAACAGATCACCTGCAAACATAAGGCTTACGTTACAAAGCCCACCAAGCCTCGAATCGTCAAGTTTATATTCTCCGTCAGAGGTTCATTCAATTACTTCAATGTCAAAAAAAGATGAGTTTGCCTCAATAAAAAGAGATGAAGTGCCATCAGTCAGACTTACGCTCCCAAATGCGATTCAATCGGATGAATATCCCCAGGAAGTTATCTCAGATGTCAAAACGTTCCGCCATGAAATCGAAAATTTAGATAATTCCATGGGATACAGATTGGAATTATCTTCTCATAATAATCTTGGTTATTCAAAAGAAATTAGCATTTGCTATATTCCTGCTCAAGGCTCACTTCAATCTGATATAGACCAAGTCTATGCGATTGATTGGGGAAATGGAAACTATTCCGTTTACTGGTCTACTTCCTTTAACGATATCGTCTCTCACCAATACGTTTATTGGTGTGAAACCGCTGATGGTCTTAATTGTAATACTGCACCTTCAAGTAAACAGGTATCAAAAGACGAATTAAAAACTGATCTAATGTTACCTGTCTCTAAATACAAATTTGGTGTATCTGCGATTGTAAGCTCGGGTCTTTTCTCAAACGGCCTTAAATGGGCTTATTGTATAGAGACTGCTATGGACTTATCTTCTAAAAATCGTATAAAACGATTTGATTTAATCTCGATCAGTTCCAGTTCAATCAAAGTAACCTGGGCACTTGATTGCCCCGCGTTAAGTTACTTTATTCAAAAATATCAAATACAATTTTGCCGTGCGGATCGTCCCTGTTCGGAAACTTTAACCATAATTGATGTTGAGAAAAAGGCAGTTGCCGTTGAAATTGATGAATTAACGCCCGGTACAACGTACAATTTCACTCTTCATGCACTCACTGATTCTGGTCAGGAAATTGAAAGTCCAATGCGAACTTTTGATACCAAGATTGATTCGACTTCATTAATTTTCACCATTCTAATCATAATTGCTGGAGTCATTTCCATTTTATTAGTTGTGTATAGTTTATTTGTTTGCAGCATGAGAAAGCGTAAAGATCAAAAAGAATTAAAGAAAGCTGTTGATAGCAATTGGATACCAAAGATGCCTTCACGATTAAAGGGAGATGCCAATATTTTGCTTAATCCTTTGTGCCGAGAAACTCGTAATGAGTACGAAAATAAAGAGTATATGAATGCAGATTCAACAAATACAACCAAATTCATTGGCAACGGGTTAAATTCAAAGTTAAAGATGGACGAAGCAATAGCAAACAATGGAAAAAATGTTATCATTTTGTCAACCATCAGTGACAATCAGTTGCACGATGTAATAAATATAAGATCATCTTCATCTTTACCATCAACCTCATCTTTACCATCATCTTCATCATCATCAACATCTACGTCAACAGGATCAGTAGACCCTGATGAAAGATTTGATTCATCTAATTACAAAAAAATAGATGGTACAAATGTAAAAAATATTATAGCCAAAAAAGAGAGGAAATCTTCTGATGGTTGTGGCTGTGATTCCGAAGATTCTGGTTACAGTGCTAGACTCTCAGATAAACACCCTTATTATAGAGGTGCCTCATTCAATATAAGTGGAATCATAAGATCTATTAACGAAGATTCACCTTACGTTGTACCTGATATCCCTTCAGGTATACCCCTTGAAAAGATCTCAAACAATGCTTCACCAGTAGCCCGTAGTCTTTCTGATTCCGATTTAAGTTATAATGGTTATACCGTAATCACAATTGATTCACCATCCAAACAATCAAATGGCTATTTATCAGATCTCCATCGTGACCACGGAAACGACCAGAAAGACATTCAAATTGTTTCAAATGGCTATGTTTATGGCTAAAGATATAAATATTTACTAGTCTTTTATGGTCATGTATTTCGTCTATTTTAATGTACTAAATCATTAACCATCATTTATTTTTTGCCAATCAATCATCTTCATGAATCTTGCATCAGTATCCAACTGGTTCAACCAAACAAAATTTCAGATCTTATCCTCAGAAAATTCGAGATCGATGTCCTTTTCAACTTTTCATTCATCATTTATCCATAGATTATACATTCACTTGTTATATATATTTTCACTTGAAGAAAAATGGACAGAAAATCTCCTTTGCTGAATCGTTCTCTTTTGTACCAATCTTGTCATCAAGAAAAGTTTCAAGATTCCTCAAGGTTTCCTATTTAAATAATTTTTCTGTAAATAATGAATAAAAAGATTGCTTTGTTAATTTGTCGTCCATCACTTATTTGCCTTTCTTAAGGATCATTATCGACCTCTTATTAATTACATCATGGCTAGAAACAGAAATCAATAAATTATCCGAAGATGACTTACATGATTAACAAATTAACCAATAGAAGATACAAAATCCTTGGAATTTTCCTAATTGAGCAAATAAAACACCGAATCAATGAACAACCCTAATCATAACCAATTGGCTGGTAATTTATTGAGACAAGAAACCTTGTTCTTAAAAATGGTTATTTGTGCATAAAAATCATGCAATATCAATAGTCAAGGTTTACTGATTAAATAAGGTAAATTATACTTATTGGTTAAATATTAGGCTACTATTGTTAAAAATAGCGGCTAATAACAGAGGTCGTACCTCCAGTCATGGTAAACAAACGAAAGGCTTGATCATTGTTAAACCAGTTTGTTTGTATAATTTGTACATTGAAACAAATCAGACGATCTTATTCAATAAATTCATTCTATTAATAATAGATGATTTCATCTGCTGATGTATCATTAACCTGAGCGTCAACATGAAATAATGGCAATTGATTGAACATTTTCAGCCATTTCTAAGAAATAAATCAGCTTGGATCTTTTTTTAACCCTAAAGACCTTCAGTAATTAAACCATAGATTAAACCATAGGTTAAGAAAGTTATCTGATGAGCATTTCAGAACCATCTCAAGTCAAATTAAAGATTATAGATTATTGATTACTAATTGTTACTGTTTAAGAAACAATATTAGAGGCTATTGTCTTGGTGTGATTAGATTACCAGTAAAAATGAGCGTTGATGTACCTCTTGTTGATCAGTTATTTTCAATTGTGATAATTTAATCTCAAGGTTTCTCCACAATTCTTTCACTTTCCAGTTGCAAATTGTTGAACAGGTATTGAACAGGACCAACGACAAAAAAAACAAGAAATTTATAGCAAAAAACTGAACCAACGTAACCTTCACAGCTGAACAAGATTATTGACACAGTCCAACTGAAAAAGGAAATTTGGTTAATAGTCAACAAAACAACAACATTAATACAATAATAATGTCCACAATAAAAGGCATAATGACAGCTACAAAAATGAAATTTGTTTGGTTAAATAAATTTCCATTGATTAACCAGCAAACAGTAATCACCGAACCCACAACAACAGCAACAAAAACAACAATTATTCAGCTATTTGTAGGTAGAGAGGTAAACACAGCAACCTTTTCAACATCAAACATTTTTATTGTGATGTAATGAAGAATCAATTTTGGTTGGAAATTATAATTTGTAAAAATAAAAGGCAAATACCAATTAAACCAGAACCAATTCAACCAAAAGTGTTTGCACTTGAAATAAGATGTCACCAAGTAGACTTAATTGAGAAAATATTTTTGAAAAGCGAAAACTAAACCGGCTTTGAAATTGCACTGAACCGGCGACCATACGTCCAGGATAGCCAGTTAGACTGATTTTGAGAGCAATAAAACCAAATTCACTATACATTTGACCAAAGCCAAACTGGACTGGACAAAAATCCAAAATGATCGAAGTTTGAAATAGGCTATTCGTCGATAGAATGAAAATATATTCAAAAGCAAATGTAGATAATTTTATAGGAAATAAACCAAACCAGAACTCGATTAGACTCTGAATGGAAAAATCCAAAAAACTGATTTAGTTGAAATACCAGATTCACCAGATGTACTATGCACAGTGTCCATTGAATGAAAAACAGAAAAAACCCGGTTTCTGGTTATTTGGTTTTTTGTTCAATTTGACTCTTATTCAGCTGACTAGTTGATGTAGGGCCAACAGGGTCAAAGACAGAAAGAGTAATGTTGTCCACAGCCAAAGTCTATTTTCAAACCCAATTTTCCAGTTTACTCATGGATTAGTTAAGATTGCTTAGATGATCCTTTAAAACACAAATTTTGGAACAGTAAATTAACCAAAAAACGATCCACCAAAATAAGGATAAGGCAGACATTCAAGATCAAAGTGAAACTGGTAGAGATTATACTTAAGCTTTGAAAAAGCTTAAAGTCCATATTTTAAAAGGCTAAATTTTTACTTGGCTCCTAGAAATTCACTCATTTTTTTATGAATAAAAGCATTTTGATGGTTAAAAATTAGATTACAGTTGACAAAATTAACTGTTTTAATTTTTTTTCAAGTTCAAATAAAGTAAACAAACAAATTAATATTGTAAAATTAGATTGCCCGTTCAATAGTAAAAATAAGGGCTATTTTAAGAGAGCCTCATTATTCAGCCGATTTCTGTAGTTCGTTGTTTTTTCCTGGTCTTTCTAAGAAGGTCAAGTCTCATCATCCTTTTACTTTCATTATCATCTTTTTACTTTTACTTTCTCTCTCATTCATCATCTTCCACTCCCTCTTTCCCTGTCTCTCTCTCACCAAATTTTCCTAACAAATTAATCGAAAGTTGAAAAAATAACGTTTCAATTTGTTTTCATTTTTGCCTCACTCAACATGTAAATACATTTCTATAGCCTTGCACTTGTGTATTTTGTTAATGTGATTATTGGTGATCAACTAATTATTATTTATAATCCAAAAGTAGGCGTTTCAAATAATTCTGAAATTACTTTCATCGCATCAATCACTCACACTTGAATTATGTTTCCATTTCAGTGAACTTTTTGTTTCCAGTTCTGTTATTTTGTAGTGTTTTCATCAGCTATCGTCATCTTTGGTCAACCAGTGAGTTTTACCTTTTCCTCTTGTTAGTCATCCCTATCGTCATCTTTGTTCATTCTCTTTCTCTCTAATTCCCACCTCAAAGACTCCCTAAGACTTCCTCACCCAATCTTATTCTTAAAACCTTTTCCAGAACCATTCAGTAAACATCTAGACGTGAACAGAACCATCCAAGTAAATCCATCAACTGCACATTCTGGTTCAACTTCAACTCTATCCTCATCTTGCACTTTCAAGCCTTTTCCATTCATTTATTTCATTTTGTGTTTCTTTCGTGTCTCTGTCAGTTTATCCACTTCATCTGATTCTGTGGCATCCATCTGGTGATGCTCTTGAGCTGAATTTTTCATCGTCAATCTTGACTCATTCAATTTGTTTTCTTCTTTGATTTCATCATCAATTTTCGCGAATTGTTGCCAAATTTCCTTTTGTGGCGGGGAAATAGCTGCAAATCATCAAAAATTGATCAAGCCTGAAAGGTACGTGTTGATTTGGTTGTTTTATTATCATTTGGAATCATGTTTGTTAACAAAATTACCAAATCTTCCTTCTGAATGTAGCCTTAAGCTAATTGCATTCATATCGGTAATTTTGTTTCTTTCAAAGAGTTTTCTCTTTTGATATTTTTTTCATTACAATTTGAAAATTACTAATCAACAGTTAATCACACATTAGGGAAGTTTTGCGTCAATCTTCCAAAAAGATTAATTATACCGTATTGTGCATATTAATCACTAAACTGATTCTAGTATGCATTTAGTTTAATCCTTTCTGCCGATAAGATGGCGCTGGAAAATTATTTTAAGGCATTGTTGTCATAGTATAAATTAAACCCATTGGTCAATTAAAACTACAGTTTGTTTGGTGACCTCTCCAGCTTAAAGTAAATTGTGTTTAACAACTCTGTTTTTTTACAGATTAATTTGATTTTAGTATTGTCCATTTGGTTTAACCGTTAATTAATTAAATACAATGATTCGTGATCGTCTGACCAGAACAATTGATCAAAGTGCTATTGATCTTTTAAAGAAAGAGTTTTCAAAGAAAACTGCTGCTGAACCTGATCTCTTTGATCCTGTTGACCTCCAAAAGGTTGAGGAAGATGACTGGTGGGCTTACCGTTTCTTGGCTGTCAATTCACTTAACCAGGATGCAGCTTTGGACAACATGGTTCAATCCATGAAATGGCGTAAAGAACATAACTTCCATTCCTTCAAGATGAATTATTTTCCAGATATGTTTTTCCGAACTGGTGCTTTGTTTCAATACGAGACTGATAAACAGGGTAGACCATCGTTAATTTTACGAATCAAGTTCGTCCGTAAAATCAAAGACATACAAAGTGCCATTGAACAATTTGTTGATCACACTCTCTGGTCCATAGATGAAACTGCTAATGGAAATGGATGGATACTAATATTTGATTTTAAAGATGCTGGACTGCAAAATGCTGATTTTGATCTTCTACATTATCTAATTAACGCCTTAAAAATACACTTTCCATTTGGTGTTGATTCTGTTCTTGTCGTAGACCTTCCATGGATTCTCAAAGCTTTCTGGAGTATGGTTAAAACCTGGATCCCTAATGAAGGCGGTAATTTAGTTCAATTCATGACAAGAAAGAAGCTCAAAGAGCATTTCGATGAATCTAATTTACCAGATTTTCTCGATGGTAAATGTAAACGTCCTTATCAAGGTGAGTCACCATCAACACATGGGCAACTGTTTATAGAAATATTTGGTTGAACAAAAATTTGACCACTGATTTTTCAATTTATGATTACAATCAGTGAAAACAATTTCACAAGCTTAGCGTAGTCCTTTTATTTTTTAATCCTATTGAGAAGAACTTAAAATGCAGTAAAATCAGTCAATCCTTTAAGATTTAAAACTTGAATTTGCTTTAAAATGGAGATGATTCTTGTCTTTACAGTTTCGCCTTCTGCTTAAATAGACTAAAAATGGTCTCCGCACTCAAGATGTGAAGTTTAAAAGCCACTTTAACTTGCCGGTCAAACATTTTAAGCTAGACCAATACAATTTGCCAAATGAGAGTAAATTGACTTCATTTTGATGTTAAATATCAATTTGCGCTGAGAATTGGGTTCATGCTTTTTTTCCTCTTCTAACTGAATTTCACTCTGAATGTGTGGCTTCCACGATTTAGTAGATAACAAATCAACTTGCCAATCTTTAGTCTAATCATAAATATTTACTTTAAAGTCAATTTGGTGATTTAAACTATAGAACCGTTCAACTTTACCTGTTTTTCCATGTTTTGCTCTCTTCTTTTGATTATACATTTAATTTAACTTAATTTTTGCTTAATATTTGTTTATTTTCCTCTTTTTTTAGGAGATCGAGTGGTTCCTAATGGTTCACCTGATGTTTATCATTTTGGTTCCAAGGTTATGAATGTTCCTGAAAACAAAATTGAAAGTATTGTTAAAATTTACGAATCCATCATGGCTTGAAATTGAATCAATTTCGCGATTGTAAATTCATCCTATTTTTATCCAATATCTTCATTTTTCCCTATCATGCTTTCATTTTTCTCTCTCCCTTCCAATAATTATTGCTTCAAAGATGACCTTATCAAGTTTAATGATGATAATCATACTTGGTTAAAAACGTTGCAACATTACCTGCATTTATATGCCTAAATAATTTATTATCAACACTGATCATCGCATTTTAAGTTACCAACAAACTGTTTCAATAAGATGTCCATACACAACACCCAAGGATCAATTTTCAATTTTAACCAACTGTCAATCATTGTCATCAAAATTGTACCTTTTTACCAAGCTTGTTATCATCCCTTTCCAAGCATCCATTTTTTACATAATATTTATAACTGTTTTCAGGTTTTACAAAGAGACTTGGATTTTTAAATGAATTGTAAAACAACGCAAATCCATCTCTTGTTTTTTTATAAATGTATCAAGTTTTATGACACTCAAGTGAGATTGTATTGAGTAGATGATTAAATGAAACAACTCATTAAATTGTCAAAGCACCAAATTTAATTTGATGGAATTTTTCTTTTATTAACAGATTAACGTGCAACAATTGTCTAAAACCGACCTTAATCTTGACCTTTTTTTTCTCAATCTCTCAAAGTCTGGTCATTGATTGACCTCTAATTGCATTTAGTGAACCTCTAATAATTAACTGAGGAGGGAAAAGTAAACGTTAATCAACTGTCAAGAGCTTGATGATTAGCTAAATGTATAACATTTTTACACTCTCAAGTCCATTAACTATTCAAATTGTATTTAAGATCAAACCTGACCCAATATCAAGATTTAATCATTATAAAGCTAATTCAACTGTAAAATTGTAACCAATGCTTTAGCCCAACTACAATCACAAATTGTGAACAACTTGGTATTTTTGCTTTCAACACTCACTACTTTAACAAGTGGCAATCATTTGAACAGGATTAAGATCAAGATTGGATTGTTAATGGTCAATGTTAATACAAGTCAATTGTGAGTGTTGTCGTTGATTTAAAACATTTTTTCATACTTACTGTAAACTGACAACAGTGACGTAAAGTGGGTAAATCAATAAATTGTCACTTACTAAATGAGCTAATTGTTAACTTAACAGTGGAAAAAAATCATCTTGTGAACAGGCTTTAAAAAGAGTTGGAAAATAATCTCTATTCTTGCTTCCGATTGTTTACAGAAATAAGACAATATCAGCTGACTGCAAAAGCTAGCATTAAAATTATCTTATCCACGAAATTGCAGAAGTAAACATTTAGATATACACTTATGATAAAATTTATTAATAAAACGAAATCGATATTATTGGTAAATACAAAAATATTGGTATTAAAATAGATATTCAAAGTGAGACGTTATTTTTGTATTATTATTCAATTGATTCTTGTGTTCAAGCCTTCTTCTTGCCAATGATTTTGCTAAGTGACTGTGATTTTCGTTTATATTCAATTAGTTGATTTGAAATACGTCTGTTTGGTGGAACGTCCTTTTCAATGAGATTTTTCTTTGAAAAAATAACTGATTGTTCATCTGCTTCTATTCCAATATGGTTACAGAATTCATTTAGTTCATCTTCATCTTCAAAAGCCAATAGTTTCTTCAATCCGCTTTTTCGGTATTTCAAAGATTCGGAGCTTCGAATGAAAGCTTTACTCATGATTTGGAATGACATTTTTCTGACTTCATAAAAATAACGATGTAACATACAAGATGTCAAGAAGTCGGCCTTTTGCACCAGTTTAAAAAAGTCAACATAATTATTAGAGTCGATAGCAGAAAGGCATTTCACAGCAAACTGGATAGCAGATGATTTTTGTATAACAGGGTCAAATCGAGTAACAGTCATCATTATATCTGATCGAGAAAAGTATAACAAGAAGTAGGCACGAAACTCTGCTTCATTTTCACAATGAATTGATCGACGGCTAAAATCATCATAAAAATGATTTAAAGTTATTAAACATTTGCCAAGATTTTCAAAATTTAAATGTTCAACAAATCCAGATGAGGTAAATTCACTCATATTATGGGCACTAAAAATGTGAAAGCGTGTGAAAACCTCCAACATATGGACAGCATCCAAATCATCAAGTTCAAATTGAGTAATTTTACGACGGATTAATCGAAAAGTGGTCCAGATGAAATCATACCATTCACATTTGTCGATATTTTTATCATCAAATTTATCTATTAAATGGTTTAAAATCCATTCCATAGAAAGAAACAATTGTCTTGGAGTTTCCAGCTTAAATGTCGAAGGATAACCAATTTTCTCGGCAAAACTTGGTCCTTTAGTTTTCCTCAGTTGCTGACAAATACCGTGAACCATTTTACCACAAAATTATAGATGACAATCAATGCAGTCAATACGTCTTTAACTGGCGCAAAAATGTTTTTGGTGCCAAACTAGATGGACTCAACCATGTTAAAAACTTGATATCAGTTTCGAACAGGAGATAACAAATTTAATCAACAAAAATCAACCATAATCACAGAGAATACTTGAGAAATCAAATCTCGAACAAAAATAAACAATTAAAGAAAATTTTGATATGATTTGTAAGCTAACTCCATCCTTCGACTAATATTAATAAACTTATCAGATGAATGAATGCCCGGGGAATTTGAAATTAGTTTTCAATAATAATTTCCATTTAGAGATTAATATTAAAAGCGATATTTTTTCCTGATTTTTGAATTCTTCGATTTCATCGATGAAATTATTCTGGGATCAAATTGTTCTTCTTAATTTGAAATTAATGTTTGATTTTAAATAAAGCTAAAACTTTGATGAGATCCGCATCAGGTTTGGTTTCGATGAGTGAAAATCATTCAACACTGGCTAAAAGCTGTGTATTTTGCTTTGCTGTTTCAGTTCTTATTTTGTTCGGTGAGCTCTTGTTCCTGAATAGAGGGATATATTGATTTGGAGGTTCCATTGAAAAACTTAAAATTAATCGAACTTTATTATTATTTATCTTATTATATTATGAATTAATTATACGAGGTTACAGAGAAAAGATTGCATTTTGTTCGTCTGTTTCTTGAGTGCAAAAAAATCAAGTTTTTTATGTGACCTGGTTTGAATTCAATCTTTCGCTACAAGAAGGTGCCTTCGATTATAGTTTTTTGATAAAATTTACCTGTGAAAATGTTAATTCATTAAGGAGTCCAGCTTATGCCAAGCCAATGGCCAAAATCAAGAGAACTGTCAATAAATTAGAAAAATTGTTTAACCAATGAAGTGTACTAACAGTTTTTATCAACTAATCATGAGTTTGGCTATCTAATTCTCATGGTCACAGAACGCTGAATAATTAACTGTAAGTCGAACTTGATCTGTAGTAAAAAAACAGAAAACTTTATTTCTCAAAATAAGTGCATTTTCTAGGCGATCATCAAAAGTTACATCCGCGAAATGGGTTTCATGGCAAAATGTGCTTCCATTATTGCACAAAAGGCAATCGAACTTCAAACTTTGGACTCGATTCTCTCAAAGACTGTCGATCAGACACATTTTTAATTTAGACGAGTGTACTCAATTTGCATTCCGTACAAACCAACAGAAACTAAACTTAGAAGAAAATAATTTTCGTCCATTCGCTTCAATTTAATACATAAATGTGACAACTGACTAATTGTGTCGTTTTAGTAACAACCATTTATTAATACATTCAGCCTTTCTTTTGCCAATGATTTGCTAAGTGACTGTGATTTTTTGTGTTACAAGTATATTCTCAGATAATTACTGATTTAAAATATCGTAAACGACTGATCGTTATTTGAAGAAATTGAGGAAAAATGTTCAACAAAAGTCATTAGAGACAAATGATCCGAGTGTATTAAGAAACTTATTGTACATAACTGATGATCTTCCATCATCTAACATCATCGTTATGATACTCAAGGACCATAAGCTAACCACAATAGCGACCAGTAATTGATGTGCATCATTATTTGAACCATTAATTCATAACGTTGAAGGAAACAGTTTCAGTTTAATTCTCAACCATTGTAACAATTTATAATCTCATGTGTTGTGGGATCATAAACATCAACACTGAATTTCTTACCAAAATTTACAATGGCTTTTAGTGGATTGATGAGTGTCGAATCTTTGAAATTGGGTTTACTTCCAATAGTTTCATATTTTATTTATGTTTATTTATTAAAACCTGCTTTACATTTTGTTCATAGAGCCATTCATTATCATGGATTTCCCTGTTATCCGAGAAACTTTATATTCGGACATTCGCTTCTATTTTGGACAAACTTTCCATTCCCATACAACCTCGAAAGTTTTCAAAGTAAGGTCTCAATGTTATGAACAAATTCTCGTCAGAATTATAATATTTGATATATTTTGTGTTATTTAGGAATGTTTCATGAAGCAACCAATAAATTAGCTGCTCATGATCAAGACCAATCTTTAACAGTTTGTTGGCTTACCTTGCATCCGAACGTACTTCCTGTGAGTCATGAAGCAGTGGAGGTAAAGTAAAAAACAATTGTTAATTTGATTTTCCAGCACTTAATTGGTAATTTGCTATAATCAATTGAAATCAACTTTTCTTATATTACTAGGTTATAATGAACAAGAAAAATGTGAGAAAACAATTTTTTTATAAATTCATGGGCCTAGGGAATGGACTGGTAGCGTCAGAACCTGCCCTTTGGAAGGTTCGAAGGAAATTGATTGAACCCTTTTTCTCGACCAAAAAGATTAAAGGTTATGCTAAACACATGGACCAAGAGGTTAAATCATTCACTCAACAATTGAATACGGAAACGGGTAAACCTGTTGACTTGGAGGATCAAATACATAGCAGTACTTTAAATATAATTTTAAAGTCTGCTTTAAGTATTCCTTTGGATGATTCAATCGAAGATAAAAAGTCATTGACAGAGCTAGTCAATAAAGTGGAACCGAATTTGGTGAGAAGATCACTAAATCCGCTTTACCATATTGATTGGGTTGCCAAGTTTACGAAGTTTGGTCGATATTATTTTGAAACTCTTGATTTAGTCGAAAAAGTACTTGCCAGGATGTTGAATCGCAGAAAGCAATTGTTAAGTTCAACATCACATGAATCAGAGAATCAGGATTTTGTTTCTTTACTTGAAGGCAAAGTGGATCAACAAGGATTTTTTGATGAACTGATAACTATGATTGCAGCTGGACATGAAACGACGGCAGTGGGTTTGCGTTGGATTTTATTCAATCTCGGTAAGATTACATTCTTCTTTTTAATGTTATAACAAAATTGAAAAGCGCTGACCAGTACAACAATTCAATTCTTGTATCTGACTGTTTCTTAATCAATCTCTTTCTTTCAGGCCACCATCCAGATGTGCAAGAACGACTATATCGAGAGATTGTTCAATTTTTCCCTGATGATACACCAGTAGATGATATGGATAAAATCAACCAATGCAATTATCTTGATCAATGTATAAAAGAATCACTTCGCCTGAATCCTCCGATTCATGTTTTCGCGAGATACCTTGAAGAAGATGTCGTGGTAAAGGATAAAAGACTTCTTAAAGATACGGGAGTTCTAGTGTCATGTCCAATAATTCATCATAACCCAAATGTTTATCCAGACCCAGAAAAGTATGATCCTGATAGATGGACCCCTGAAAATGCGTCCAAAATACCCAAAGCAGCTTATATACCATTTGGTTATGGACCACGATCTTGCATTGGATACCGATATGCAATATTAGAACTCAAGATTTATACAATTCAAATCATTCGTAAATTTAGTTTGAGATCGACTCGGAAACATGAAAGTATTCCTTCCAAGTTTGAAATCACTTTGAAGCCATGTTTACCTTTGGAAATAATTGTGACACCAAGAAATAACAATTAAAAACTGTAAATTGTAAAAGCTTAAATATGTGATCAGCCCATAATGACTTGTTATAGAGTCTCTATATTAGAGATAATATAATAGGAAATTATGAAAGATACTTAAAAATAAATTAAAACGAAGAGACACTTTTGTATCATGCAAACGATTCAATATCAATTTATGTCAAGTTTATCCGTTAGAGTATCATTTGTAGATAGGTTTGTATCTAAAATTCAATTCTCTTCATATTCAAAACATAATTAGGTTTATGACTGACAAAGCGTTTAGTGTGATAAAACTACTAGTCGTATTGTACTCGACATGAAAATTTGATCGGCTACAGAAAAATATAGTATTAAGATTATCTTATCCACGAAACTGCAGAAGTGAACATTTAGATTTACATTAAACGAAATATTACGAGTAATTTTACGGCGGATCAATCGAAAAGTGGTCCAGATGAAATCATACCATTCACATTTGTCGATATTTTCATCATCAAATTTATCTATCAAATGGTTTAAAATCCATTCCATAGAAAGAAACGATTGTCTTGGAGTTTCCAGCTTAAATAACCAATTTTTGGTGCCAAACTAGATGGTCTTGACCATGTTAAAAATTCTCGAACAGGATATAAAGACTGCATAACTTCATAAAAATAAAGATGCAACATACAAGAAGGCACAAACTTATTCTGTATTTTTATACTGATTGTTACTAAAAAGACAAAATTAATACAATTGTAACATTTAGGCACAAACTGACAAAATTTTACAAAGTACTGAAAGAAGAAGGGCAAAACGGACTAAAATTGATTGCTTCCAAATTTTGACTCAGTTGGTTTGTAGAGACATAAAAACTGAGTCTCTTTTTGCAATTTAAAAGTTTCTCTTATCCAAAGTTTTCAGGGAAATCGAGGTAAAAGTTGAAACTTGGATCGCTTTTTATACAATATTGGAAGTAGATTTTTTCTTGAAACTGATTTATCTAATGTAATGTTAGAAAGTCAACCAGAAAATGCCCTTGATTTGAGAAATAACATTTTCTGTTTCCTCGATCAGTTCGATTTTTAATCAAACCGACTCATTTCTGTGACCGTAGGAGTGTTGCTGTTGGCTCATAAAATTGTTGGTAAAAATCATGGGTTGAATACTTTTTCCAATTTCTCAACAGTCCTCTTGATTTTGACCTTCCACTTAAAATCTTTGAACATCAATGTTTCGAGAATGGCATCACTTACATCCACTATTATTTGGCCAAACGTTAGATTGCATTATTAGCTATGATATAATATGACTGAATATCGCATAAAATCTGAGTTAATTCATTTAATAATGAATATCCTTCTGAAACTAAAGATTCGTGTGATTTGTGGACAAATAATGAGTTTAAGCTTTCTAACTCACTTGTATATGAGAGTAGAAAGCCATCGGTTTAACTTGAAACCGAACTTAACTATTTTAAAGAAAAATAAAGTTTTATTTATAAAATTAAGTGCATTTTCTTGTTGACTATCAAAAGATACATAGAAAATGAGTTTCATGAAAAAACTGCTTCCATAGCTGACCTAGAGTTGATCGAAGTTTCAAATTTGAATTCGATTTCCTGGAAAACTGTCCATCGGATGAATTATTTAACAGGACCAATGAACTCAGTCTTTATACCCCAACAAACCCACTAAGTCTCAATTCTTAGCTCAAATGTCCGAGACTTTGGCAGCAATCTTTGCATTTCATTTATAAGTTAACCAGAAAATTGGTTTATTTACTAAGGGTTAATATGAGTTTGGTTGTTGAATAAGCTGTTGCTCGTACATTCAAAGGCCAAAAAAGTCATGATCCAAATGCACTAATATAATTTATCAAATAGAATTGAATTATTAATTAGTGTAGAATTAAATTGATAAAAGAATGATGGATGTAACTAATGTCACTCTCGAAATATTGATGTTCAAAGTTTTAAGGCCAATGGCCAAAATTAAGACAAAAATTGAAAAAATTATCAAGCCATAATGTGTACCAACAATGCTTATGGACAGCTCTTAATTTTCAGTTCTCTAACTTGAGCTTCAACTCGGAGTCGAAAGCTCTACTTATGATTTTGAATGAGCACCTTGTTCGTTGCATATCAAGCGTCATGTATATTCTGAGATAATCACTGATTTAAAATAACGTAAACGACTGATCGTTATTTGAAGAAATTGAGGAAAAATGTCCAACAAAAATCATTAGAGACAAATGATTCGAGTGTATTAAGAAACTTGTACATAACTTATGATCTTCTCATCATCTAACATCATCGTTATGATACTCAAGGACTATAATCTAACCACAATAGCGATCAGTAATTGATGTGCATCATTATTTGAACCATTAATTCATAACGTTGAAGGAAACAGTTTCAGTTTAATTTTCAACCATTGTAACAATTTATAATCTCATGTGTTGTGGGATCATAAACATCAGTTCATTTCTGATTGTGAATGAAGCTATAGATTACCGTCACTTCGTTACCAAAATTTACAATGGCTTTTAGTGGGTTGATGAGTGTTCAATCATTGAAATTGGGTTTACTCCCAATAGTTTCGTATTTTATTTATGTTTATCTATTAAAACCTGCTTTAAATTTTGTTCATATTGTCATTCATTATCATGGATTTCCCTGTTATCCGAAAAACTTTCTTCTTGGACACTTGAAGCTATTGTGGACAAACTTTCCATTGCCATACAACGTTGAAAGAATGAAAAGTAAGCTCGCAATATAATGAAAAAATTCTCGTCAGAATTATTAATATAATACTTGATATATTTTATGATATTTAGGAAAGTTTTATGAAGTGACCAATAAAATGGCTGCTCATGATCAAGACCAATCTTTAACAGTTGGTTGGATTTCCTTGCATCCGATCATAATTCCTGTGGTTCCTGATGCAGTGGAGGTAAAGTAAAAAACAATTGTTAAAATTGATTTCACACCACTTGATTGGTAATTTGCAATAATCAACTTGAACTCCTCTGTTGCTTATATTACTAGGTTATAATGAACAAGAAAAATTTGAAAAAACAATTTTTTTACAAATTCATGGGCCTAGGGAATGGACTAATACCTTCAGAACCTGCCCTTTGGAAGGTTCGAAGGAAATTGATTGAACCTTTTTTCTCGACCAAGCAGATGAAAGGTTTTGCTAAACACATAAATCAAGAGGTTGAATCATTCACTAAACAATTGTATGGGGAAACGGGTAAACCTGTTGACTTGGAGGATCAAATACATAGCAGTACATTGAATATCATTTTAAAGTCTTCTTTAAGTATTCCTTTGGATGATTCAATCGAAGATAAAAAGTCATTGACAGAGCTAGTTAATAAAGTGGAATTGAATGGTGTGAAAAGATGCCTGAATCCGCTTTACTATATTGATTGGATTGCCAAGTTTACGAATTTTGGTCGATATTATTTTGAAACCCTTGATTCAGTCGAGAAAATACTCAAAAAGATGTTAATTCGCAGAAAGCAACTGATAAGTTCAACATCGCATGAATCAGAGAATCAGGATTTCGTTCTTTTACTTGAAGGTAAAGTGGATGAACGCGGATTTTTTGATGAATTGATAACTATGATTGGAGCTGGACATGAAACAACGTCAGTGGGCTTACGTTGGATTTTATTCAATCTCGGTAAGATAACTTTCTTCCTTTTAACACATCTTAATGTTACAACAAAGATCAGCACTTAGCAGTACAACAACTTATCTTTTGTATTTGACTGTTTCTTAATCAATCTCTTTCTCTCAGGCCACCATCCAGATGTGCAAGAACGACTTTATCAAGAGATTGTTCAATTTTTCCCTGATGATACACCAGTCGATGATATGGATAAAATAAACCAATGCAATTATCTTGATCAATGCATAAAAGAATCACTTCGCCTGAATCCTCCTGTCCATGCTTTATCGAGAGACCTTACAGAAGATATCATGGTAAAGGATAAAAGACTTCTTAAAGGCTCGATAGTTGTAGTTTCAATTTCAATAATCCATCGTAACCCAAATGTTTACCCAGAACCAGACAAATATGATCCTGATAGATGGACCCCTGAGAATGCGTCCAAAATACCTAAAGCTGCTTATATACCCTTCGGTTATGGACCACGATCTTGCATTGGATACCGATATGCAATATTAGAACTCAAGATTTATACAATACAAATCATTCGTAAATTTAGTTTGAGATCAACTCGGAAACATGGAAGTATTCCTGTCATGTCTGCAGTTACACTGAAGCCATGTTTACCTTTGGAAATAATTGTGACACCAAGAAATAACAATTAATAGCTGCAAAAGTTTGAATATGTGATCAGCCCAAAAAGACTTAGAAAGATAATATAATAGGAAATTATGAAAGATATTTAAAAATAAAATTTATTACGAAGAGACACTTTTGTATCATGAAAATAATTCAATATTAAATGTCACACTTATCCGTTAGGTTTATAACTTACAAAGCGTTTAAGAGGATAAAACTAAAAGTCGTTTTGTACTCAATATGAAAATTTGGTCGGCTACAGAAAAAGATAGTATCAAGCTTTACTTATGATTTGGAATGACTTTATTCTGACGCCATAAAAATAACGATGTAACATACAAGAAGTCAAGAAGTCAGCTTTGCGAACCAGTTTAAAAAAGTCAACCTATTATGAGAATCGATTGCGAAAAGGCATTTCGCACCAGATGATTTCCCTATAATAGGTTTGAATCGAGTAACATCTATCATGTTACTCGGGTTAAAACTTATTGCTTTCAAATTTTGACTCAGTTGGTTTGTAGGGACATAAAAATTGAGTTTCTTTTTTGCGATTTAAAAGTTTCTCTTATCCATAGTTTTCAGGAAAATCGAGGTAAAAGTTGAAACTTCGCTCGCTTTTCGTTCAGCTATGGATGTGAATTTTTTCATAAAACTCATTTCACATCAATATCTCGAGAATGACATCACTTTTATTTACCATTCTTTCACCAATTTGATTCTTTACTAATTAATAATTAAATTAAATTTAATAAATTACAATAGTCCATTTGGGTCATGATTTTCGGGCTTTAAATGTAAGAGCAAGTTAGAGAGCTGAAGGTCGGGTCGATAAAAATTGTTGGTTAACATTATGGATTGAATACTTTTTCCAATTTCTCAACAGTTCTTTTGATTTTGACCATCGACTTAAAAACTTTGGCCATCAATATTTCGAGAGTGACATCACTTACATCCATCATTCTTTGGCCAAACGTTAGATTTTATTATGGGCTATAATGGATCGAAATATTAAATCATTCAAGATCCTACAGAAAAAGTTGTAGCATTACTTTACTTATGTTACCAGATTTGGGACTTGATTTATAAAGATAAATGATTACACAAACACACATCTTAAGTGTCAGAATGATATTCATTATTAAATGAATCAGCTCAGGTTACATCCGATATTCAGTCATATCATAGCTAATAATGCAAGCTAACGTTTGTGCAAGAAACACGATTGTAGGAGAAACCGTTCTGGAAGTATTGAGACGTAAAGTTTTAGGCCAATGGCCAAAATCAAGAGAACTGTCAATAAATTGAGAAAAGTATTTCATCCATGATGTGTACCAAGCTTATGGACAACTATTAAGTTTCAGCTCTCTAACCCTTACTATCACAGAATGCGATCGGTTTAACTAAAAATCGAACTGACCTGTTTTAAAGCAAACAGAGAATGTTATTCTCAAGAACATTTTCTAGTTGAATGTTAAAAGCTTGCCTATTTGCTTCGCTTTGTACATAAATGTGGCAACTGAATTAATTGTGTCTTTTACGTAGCAACCTATTATATTCAACCTTTCTTCTTTCCAATGATTTTGCCAAAAGACTTTTATTTTCGTTTATATTCAATTAGATTCATTCAATTGATTCGAAATGCGTCTGTTTGGTGGAATGTCCTTTTCTTTGAAAAAATAACTGATTGTTCATCTGCTTCTATTCCAACATGATTACAGAATTCATTTATTATAATAGTTCATCTTCCTCTTCAAAAGTCAATAGTTTCTTCAGTCCGCTTTTTCGTTATTTCAAAGATTCGGAGCTTCAACTCGGAGTCGAAAGCTTTACTTAGGATTTGAATGAACACCTTGTTCATTGCATATCAAGCGTCATGTATATTCTCAGATAATTACTGATTTAAAATATCGTAACGACTGATCGTTATTTGCAGAAATTGAGGAAAAATGTTCAACAAAAGTCATTAAAGACAAATGATTCGAGAATATTAAGAAACTTATTGTACATAACTGATAATCTAACATCATCGTTATGATACTTGCGGGCTATAAGGCAATCACAGTAATTGATGTGCATCATTATTTGAACCATTAATTCATAACGTTGAAGGAAACAGTTTCTTTTTAATTCACAACCATTGTAACAATTTATAATTCATAATTTCATGTGTTGTGGGATCATAAGCATCAGTTCGTCCCTGATTGTGAATGAAGCTAAAGATTATCGTGATTTTTTACCAAAATTTACAATGGCTTTTAGTGGATTGATGAGTGTTCAATCATTGAAATTGGTTTTGCTTCCAATAGTTTTATATTTTATTTATGTTTATCTATTGAAACCTGCTTTACATTTTGTTCAGCAGGTCATTCATTATCATGGATTTCCCTGTTATCCGAGAAACTTTCTATTCGGACATTTGCTTCTATTTTGGACAAACTTTCCATTTCCATTCAACGTCGAAAGTTTTCAAAGTAAGGTCTCAATATTACGAACAAATTCTCGTCAGAATTATAATACTTGATATATTTTATGATATTTAGGAAAGTTTTATGAAGAAACCAATAAAATGGCTGCTCATGATCAAGACCAATCTGTAACAGTTTGTTGGCGTTCCTTGATGCCTACCATAATTCCTGTGAGTCCTGACGCAGTGGAGGTAAAGTAAAAAACAATTTTTAAAATTGAATTTCATCACTTGATTCAATATCGGTAATTCAATTTAATTCAACTTGAACTCCTTTTTTGCTTACATTCACAGGTTATAATGAACAAGAAAAGTGTGAAAAAACTATTTTTTTATAAATTCATGGGCCTAGGAAATGGACTGATAGCGTCAGAACCTGCCCTTTGGAAGGTTCGAAGGAAATTGATTGAACCCTTTTTCTCGACCAAAAAGATTAAAGGTTATGCTAAACACATGGACCAAGAGGTTAAATCATTCACTCAACAATTGAATACGGAAACCGGTAAACCTGTTGACTTGGAGGATCAAATACATAGCAGTACTTTGAATATCATTTTAAAGTCTGCTATAAGTATTCCTTTGGATGATTCAATCGAGGATAAAAAGACATTTACAGAGCTAATTAATGAAGGGGAATCAAATTTGGTGAGAAGATCACTAAATCCGCTTTGCTATATTGATTGGGTTGCCAAGTTCACGAAGTTTGGTCGATATTATTTTGAAACGTGTGATTCACTCGAAAAAGTACTCAAAAAGATGTTAAATCGCAGAAAGCAACTGTTAAGTTCAACATCGCATGAATCAGAGAATCAGGATTTTATTCTTTTACTTGAAGGTAAAGTGGATGAACAAGGATCGCTCGATGAATTGATAACTATGATTGGAGCTGGACATGAAACGACGGCAGTGGGTTTACGTTGGATTTTATTCAATCTCGGTAAGATTTCATTCTTTCTACCAACCTTATAATCTTTGACCTATTTTAGATTTAAAATAATAATCCGGGCAACAATTCAATTCTTGTATCTGACTGTTTCTTAATCAATCTCATTCTCTCAGGCCACCATCCAGATGTGCAAGAACGACTATATCAAGAGATTTGTCAATTTTTCCCTGATGATACACCAGTAGATGATATGGATGAAATCAACCAATGCAATTATCTTGATCAATGTATAAAAGAATCACTTCGCCTGAATCCTCCTGTTCATGTTTTTATAAGAGAACTCGAAGAAGATGTCATGGTAAAGGATAAAAGACTTCTTAAAGGTTCGACAGTTCTAGTGTCATGTCCAATAATCCATCGTAACCCAAATGTTTACCCAGACCCAGAAAAGTATGATCCTGATAGATGGACCCCTGAAAATGCGTCCAAAATACCCAAAGCAGCTTATATACCATTTGGTTATGGACCACGATCTTGCATTGGATACCGATATGCACTATTAGAGCTCAAGATTTATACAATTCAAATCATTCGTAAATTTAGTTTGAGAGCAACTCGGAAACGAGAAAGTATTCCTATCAAGTTTGAAGTCACTCTGAAGCCATGTTTACCTTTGGAAATAATAGTGACACCAAGAAATAACAATTAAAAACTGCAAGAGTTTAAAAATGTAATCAGTCCAAAAAGACTTACTTGTTAGACCGATAGTATAATAGGGAATTATGAAAGATATTTAAATAAAGATACTGAAATTTTATGACTTACAAAGCGTTTAGGGTGATAAAACTACAAGTCTTTGTACTCGATATGGAAATTTGGTCGGCTACAGAAGAAGATAATATTAAGATTATCTTATCCAGAAGTAAACATTTGGATTTAGACTTATAAACAAAAATCGATAAAATTTATTAAAACGAAATCGATATTATTGGTGAATACAAAAATATTAATATTAAAATAGATATTCCAAGTGAGACGTTATTTTTGTATTATTATTCAATTGATTCTTGTATTCAAGCCTTCTTCTTGCCAATGATTTTGCTAAGTGACTGTGATTTTCGTTTATATTCAATTAGTTGATTTGAAATACGTCTGTTTGGTGGAATTTCCTTTTCAATGAGATTTTTCTTTGAAAAAATAACTGATTGTTCATCTGCTTCTATTCCAATATGATTACAGAATTCATTTAGTTCATCTTCGTCTTCAAAAGCCAATAGTTTCTTCAATCCGCTTTTTCGGTATTTCAAAGATTCGGAGCTTCGAATGAAAGCTTTACTCATGATTTGGAATGACTTTTTTCTGACTTCATAAAAATAACGATGTAACATACAAGATGTCAAGAAGTCAGCTTTTTGAACCATTTTAAAAAAGACAATATAATTATTAGAATCGATAGCAGAAAGGCATTTCACAGCAAACTGGACAGCAGATGATTTCCGTATAACAGGGTCAAATCGAGTAACAGTCATCACTATATCTGATCGAGAAAAGTATAACAAAAAGTAGGCACGAAACTCTGCTTCATTTTCACAATGAATTGATCGACGGCTAAAATCATCATAAAAATGATTTAAAGTTATTAAACATTTGCCAAGATTTTCAAAATTTAAATGTTCAACAAATCCAGATGAGGTAAATTCACTCATATTATGGGCACTAAAAATGTGAAAGCGTGTGAAAACCTCCAACATATGGACAGCATCCAAATCATCAAGTTCAAATTGAGTAATTTTACGACGGATTAATCGAAAAGTGGTCCAGATGAAATCATACCATTCACATTTGTCGATTTTTTCATCATCAAATTTATCTATCAAATGGTTTAAAATCCATTCCATAGAAAGAAACAATTGTCTTGGAGTTTCCAGCTTAAATGTTGAAGGATAACCAATTTTATCGGCAAAACTTGGTCCTTTAGTTTTCCTCAGTTGCTGACAAATACCGTGAACCATTTTACCACAAAATATAGATGACAATCAATGCAGTCAATACGTCTTTAACTGGCGCAAAAATGTTTTTGATGCCAAACTAGATGGTCTCAACCATGTTAAAAACTTGATACCATTCTCGGACAGGAGATAACAAATTTAATCAACAAAAATCAACCATAATCACAGAGAATACTTGAGCACTTCGAGTAAAAATAGTCTCGGAGCCTAATTTTACAATGAAAAAGTACAAATAGCGATTTCCCCATCCTTCGACTAGTAAAAAACTTATCGGGTGAATGAATGCCCGGGGAATTTGAAATTAGTTTTCAATAATAATCTTCATCAAGATAATAATTCGTTTGATATTTTCCCTGATTTCAAAATTTGTGGATTTCAACGATGAATAAAAGGAATATCTAGACAAATCTTTGGCCTCATTGGTGAACCAATCAATTTTTTAGATAAAATTCAATATGAAATGGTTTTCCTAGGTCACGTCATCAAGTTATAATGAACACGTCTATGTTTAATTAATCCCAATTTTGTTTAAATCTATTGTTTCAAAACCCTGAATCAATGATTTTTACATAGTTTTGAGGCCGATTAGTATTTTTTCTTGTTAATCACAGCGTGAATTGTTCAAGAAGAATCATCATAATTTAATAATTCGTCGATTTCAACATTGTCGTTTCATTCAATTCCAATAAAATGGCCAAAAGCATAAACAATAAATTCAAATAATTTTTTAGGAGGTAGACAATTAACTAGATCCTTGCCAAGCAATGGCAAAGAAAATTTTTCAAAAAAATACCGATTAAAGAATCTCGTTCACCTCTTTCAGTATCATAAGCCATCAACGATAGCTAATAAATTTAATTATTGACCTATAAATCCAGCATTAAAAATAAATTATATAGATAATTAACTTTCTTTCTTTTCTTTGCTATTCTTTGACTTTTTACCACCACCATTGGATTTGGTTTCTTTTTTCTCGTTCTCTTCGTCATGATCTTGATAACTAAACATTGATTTGAGATCACCTTGAATCAGGGCAACAGACAGTGGAGTTAGCACACAAGCAGGTACCAAATAGAGAAGAGCTGGCTGAGCGTGATTGTATACAGTCATAACAACGATTGTCAAAATCAAACCAAGAATGTAGGCAATGAAAGCCGTGTAGAAGTAGATTTTACGACCTTTTCTTTTCAGGCTAAGGGAAAAAAGTTTAAAATCATTAAGAATATTGTAACAACACAATTAAATAACAACTTACCTGACATCATATCTTAAAAGAAGTGCGATGAAAATACCAGGGACAACAATATCACCAAGACCCAACATTGCGAAATGCTTTCCGAAGAAACCACTCTCAATGAAATCTTGTGGGAACATAAGTTTGATTGGTGCTTCGAAAGATTGGGCAACAGTAACCATAACGTCGGTTCCAAATACCCAGAAAACATCATAAAAGAATAGACCAATCAACAAAATACAACCATTAGCAATTTTGTTCAAAGAGAGAAGCTCGATTCCACTGCAAGCAAAAGCAATTCCAAACAGATTGTTTGCAACCCAATGCTAAAAGAGAAAACAAACGATTAATTTTTCGATCCAACTGAATCAGTTATTTCAGTACAAACCTTTTTCATGAAATACCAAACACCAATAATACTGGAAACAACGAATGAGAGAATATCAAAAGTGTTGAATTCGAAATCAATCAAATTGAAAGGTTTCTTGTCAGATTTTTCCTTCTTCGTAAAGTTGAGATGATATTCAACCTTGCTGATTGGACCACTGAAAAGTTTCTCAAACATTGGTTGAAGAAAGGTGGTCAGGGCAATTACTCCAAGTGAAAAGAAATAAATACTGAGAAGATAATTGACGTATTCTTTGGAGAAAATTTTGATTACCAAATAAAGACCACCAAGTGTACCGCTGGCAATAATAGGGAATGTCATGGCATCTCTTCTAGACATAGTATCAGGTCGGACACCGGATTCTTCGTAAGCTTTCTTCTGCTTTTGATGATATTTAATTGACCGAAATGAACCATAGAAGATAGGTAAAACAGCCATTACAACCAGTGAAACGTAAGCAACGGTTCTACCTTCATTGGTAGCTTTAAATTTATTACCACTAGCACCAGCAGTTACCGTTTCATTGGCTTGAAGAATAATGAAATCCATTAGATCCATTTTAGAAATAAGCTAAACTAGATTAATAAATACAAATATATAAATAATAAAACTCTAATATTGGTGGTAAAGGTGGAGATTTTCGGTTACTGCCAACAATTCATTCAGTTCGTAAATTTAAATGAACTTAAGTTTAGACTGAACAATCAACTGGAAATTAAATTCACTTAACAGCATAACTTTGTCAGTATGCAACGTGCACATAACAACATCGGTTACTAGGGAAGACTGGGGAAGATTGATATATTACGAAAGTGTAAAGCAAGAAAGTTGCGCAAAGTCACTTAAACTTCAGTGAATCTTATTTTTTTTACTTTGTTTTATCAACAAAAATTGTTCATTTTTATTCAATGTTTGTGTGTGTTCCATGTAACATGTAGCCTGTTTTTGTTTCTGTGTTACCTTACTACTGAATAGACTGTTAACAATCAACATGAGATTATTTTTCTACTTTTTGATTGCAGTTTATTGTCATTAATTGCAATATACTCAATAACTGGATCCAAACTAAATTTTCCTCTTTTTTTGTCGCTGGTGTGTGTGTGTTTTCATCTCTTTATTTCTTTCTTTCTCTCTTTTCATCTCTCTTCTCTTTCTCGGCTTTTTATGAATCAACTTCTCTGTCTGTCTGCCTGTCTGTCTGTTTATCAGCTTTTCTCCTTTTTTGGGGGTACTTTTGGCCCTCCCGAATCATTTAGTCTTTCCTCTTTGCAATCGCTTTCTTGGGTTGCTTCCTTTGGTTAAATGTTTGTTATTCATTGTGATTTTTTGTGCTTCGTATCACCTCTATATCCATCAACATCTTTATTCAGTTAATCTCCATCATTACCTAAATCGAATAACCATGCTGGTCATCTTTTCTTTGATTACTCATCTGATCGTCTAAGGAATAGAACAATGTTACAAGTTTATCCACTACAAAGTGTACCAAAGCCTTTTTCCCTGTTTATATTGTTACAACCAATTAAATTATGCTACTTCAAGTGAAGTATTGAGTTTTTTCTTTGTCAAAAAAAGAAATTTTGTTGCAAGAAACATCTTGTCATCTAAATTATCTTTCACAGTGATCTTTTGATTTATTTTTAACAAGAACACCAAACACCATCTACTTTAACTATCATCTTCAATCCTAATTCAACGATTTATTATCTACTTACCAAGTTGCAATGTTCTAGCTTCTGCAATAAACAAAACCTCAAAGAGTAACTCAGATTTACTCATCTTACAATAAAAAAAAATACAAATCTAACCAAGTCTAATCACAGTAACATAAAAATAGTAAAATATAAAGATTATATTCTGGTCGAAAGTCAAATAAAAGAGAGAAAATCTCTTCAAAAAAAAGGATAAAACATCATGGATCATTCAGTGAAAGCAATGACAAATAATCACCGTAAAGTTGCCTTTTCTCGATTGTTAAATCGTGATCGATTTGAAAACTCTGAACTGGAATCCTTGTATCAGAGATACATTTTCAAGCTCAATCAATCATCCATTCTAAGTGTTTTACTTCTCTTCTCTCTGTTAACCTTAATCCTATCCATTCTTGAATTTTACTTCTACGAAAAAATAACCGTCATTGGTTTCTTTTGTGCACTCCAATGTATCACCTTTGTTGGTTTATTTATCTTAAGTTACACCAAACCAATGGAAGATGATCATCTCATCGGTGTTTGTTACACTATTATCACCGCCTGTATATTCTTTTGTCTTCTCTATGCACCTATTGATATAAAATTAAGACATCCTTGGCTTGGTAATTCTTGGTGGGATCGTAATCACAATGCATCTGAAGGTGTATGGCAAATAGTTTTGGTTATATTCATTGTTTACACATTGTTACCAGTTAGAACCCGCTATGCTGTTTTAATTGGAGTTTTGTTGCCTTCTTCTCACCTGGTCATCTCAATATTGATGGCAAACGCATTTTTGGAATACAAAGTCCAAGCTTTATGGGCTAACGGTTTAATATTTGCATGTATCAACATGGCAGGATTGTTTGTTAATCATTTAATGGAGCATGCTGGGCGAAAAGCTTTCCTCAATACCAGAAATTGTATAAGTGCTCGTCTTGAAATGGAGGATGAAAATGAAAAACTTGAAAGACTTTTACTCTCTGTGTTGCCTCAACATGTAGCAATGGAAATGAAAGCTGATATTTTGGCACCCAAAGAGTTGGGTCAATTTCACAAAATTTACATTCAAAAGCACGAAAATGTCAGCATTTTATTTGCCGATATTGTTGGTTTCACAGTTTTAGCTTCTCATTGCAACGCTTCAGATCTAGTTCGTTTATTGAATGAACTTTTTGGTCGATTCGATCAACTGGCCAACGACAACCATTGTTTGCGCATCAAAATACTCGGAGATTGTTATTATTGTGTCTCCGGTTTACCAGAACCAAGATCTGACCATGCCCATTGTGCCGTTGAAATGGGTCTTGACATGATTGATGCCATTGCTTCTGTGGTTGAAGCAACCGATGTCCAATTAAACATGAGAGTTGGTATCCATACTGGTAGAGTGTTGTGTGGTGTCATTGGTTTACGAAAATGGCAGTATGATGTTTGGTCAAACGATGTAACTTTGGCCAACGCCATGGAAGCAGCCGGTGAACCGGGTAGAGTTCATATAACCCAAGCAACCTACGATTGTCTGCACAATGAATATGAAGTTGAACCCGCTGCCGGAGCAGACAGAAATCCAACTTTACGCAAGCACAATGTTGTTACCTATTTCATTATTCCTCCCCAACAACGACGTAAACCATTGCTTTTCAACACCCTTCAAGTTCGCCATCTTGCTGGAACAGCAGGCCGCCGGAAATTGTCTTTCAAAAATGTCTCCAGTGTGCTTGTTCAATTACTTCATTCAATCAAATTTAATGTTGACGTTCCTTTCTCAAATATGGCAATGGTATCGACAGGAAATATGCAAAATGAATCTTCACTAGATGATCAATTATCCCACAAGAAGGTAAAAATTAGTCTGCCTTTGTAATTTTTTTTATTCTTGCCCAGTTTCAATTAATAATCAATTATTTCTTCTTCTCTTCTCAAACACAGAAAATGGCTGATAAACTGAGAAAACCATTCAAAAAGCGTCACTCAGCAACTCACCATCAAGCAACAAATCGGGTGAACAAATATCTATCTCAAGCCATTGAAGCTCGCAGTGTAGACCGAGAAAAATCAACTAATGTAAACTGGTTTACATTATGTTTCAAAGATCGGATAAAGGAGAGGCAATACCATGAAAATAAAGATCATGGCTTTGGCATGTCATTATCTTGTGCATTAGCCATACTTATTATGTTGACCGCTGTTCAAATTGTCATCCTTCCTAGGTAAGCATGGAAAAATAATTTTTACCTTTATTACAGTTTCATGAATATAACTAGACAAAAAGGAGTAAAAGCTACACATTTGTTGATGTAAATGCTTGTATAAATGTTATGTATAAGTAAACGAGAAAAAATATATGACAAAAAAGAGGGTAAAAAGGATGTTAGAGGAAAGTTAAAGAGGATATTTGAAAAACCTATTTAAGTTGCAAAAGTTGCCAAAATCATGAATCCATGAAATGGGGGTGGCTTGGAGGAGATGGGGTTGAAGGTAATAATAAATAACGAAACTGTGAGTTTATTTATATTTGCAAACAAATGCCTGGTAAAACAAGAAAACCCTTGAAGCATTTTACTTTTAATTTCATTCTGATTCATCATTTGATCATTTTGGTAAAAAGTGAGTCAATCATGGTAATCTTTTTCTTTGAATAATTTTCAAATGTAAGATTTGCAAGGGTTCAAATGAATTGCTACATGAAAGATGTAACACAAAAAAAAGTAGGAAGAAGAAAAAAAATGATGAAAGCAAGATTGAAAGTTCTGATCTGAATGAGTTGAATAATATGAAGTTGAAAAAGATAACCAAATCTTACAGAAAAGCATAACAAGACTTTTATGCAATTTTTACTCTTTTTTTTATTTAAACGATTCGATATTTTCTTGAACTTTCACTTTTTCCTCAATTTTTGCCATTTCTTTATCCAAGAAACATGTTTTTTCAGAATTGATAACATTTTTTGTTATCTCTATTTTCAAATGTTGCGATATAATTTTATACTTAATCATTTTAAGTATGAAAGAATCATCTAAACACTTATGTCAATTTGTTTTTACACATATTAACAATCAACTGATCATAACCGTTAATATTGATTTAAAGTGTCAAGGAACCAACTCAAGATAAACTTGATTCTCAGCTCATTTTAACTCACCATTGTATCACAATCTCAAATCTATTAGTTGAAAATGAAACACTAAAAAATGGTCAACTTGACAATTTAACTTGTTCAGATAACTCAAAAATACTCATGTTATAATGACAATTTTAGTGATAATATTGATATTTACATTGAATATAAAATAATTGTTTAAACCATTGAAATGGCCATTTGAAAAGGTTGAAACTTTACATTTGAAAGATGCTTTTATAATTGAAATATTGATGAAATGTAATCAACCTTTTCTTGCGCTTTATTTGATTGTTCAATCTCATGATAAAACTGATTTTCAACAGATTCATCTTACTGTAACCATTTGCAAGGCAAATATTTTTCAACTCGACGATTCCCATGTAATACTTTCATGTGTGTTGAACGTTTTGCTTGAAAGAACCCGAATCTTTAAAGATGTTTTTTTCCAGATAAACATTTTTACGTCACTCTTGAGATGTTCATTTTGTAATAAAAATGAATTGAAATGTCGACTATTAAATTACATATCAACGATTGATGGCAACATTAAAATTTAAGCAAAGTTATTCAATTTTAATGGACAAGTAAATGCATAAACACAATGAAATTATCAACTATATTTTTCAGTTGGTATTTGAAGCATTTACAGATTTAGCTTACGCGATTATCGACATTCAAATCCAGATGGTTAATCAATTAACTTGAAATTATTAAGTTAACATACTTACATATCTCTAACTAATTCAGCTACTTTATTAATGCTTTAGTTGGCAAAAAAAGTGTAAATCATAAATCCAAACATTGATGTTATTACAGTTGTTAATATTGTTACAAACCTTTAGTTTACCATTCAGCTTACGTGATAATCTTATTGAAGCGTTATTTAACCATTTACTTGGATTCATCTTCCTTCCTCATCATCGTCATCACCATCCATTTTTGCATATAAACTAACTGATACTTATTACCTGATGTACCTTTCAATACTTTTAAATATTACTTCATTTTCAACTTGTAAAATCTTCTTTTTTTGTATATCTCTTGAAAACTTATTTTTTGCTTCTTCTTCTCATTGAAAAGATATACTTATACAGATTCATGGTGTGTATACCTTGAAGAGTCATCAATCTTTTCTTTTACCATTTTATTCTATCACAAGTTTCATTTCTACCTCAGAATTCGCTTTTTTCCCAAATCAATCGATGAATCTTAACACCTTATTTAAACACTTTTTCCTACAAAATTTCATTTCAATCTTCTTGTTATTTTCTTATCCTCTCAACTCTCACTTCAGTATATGTCATGGTGAGATTCATATATATATAAGATATAAAAACATTCTAATCAGATTCCTTTGAGAAAACGACAAGTGAAAACAAGGTAAAGATAAAAAAGTTCAACTCAAAATAGAACCCAGATAAAGATAAAGACTCTAGCTTCATGGAAGTCCATCATGTAATAAAGAAATGAAAAATGAGATTGTATAACCATCAGAGTTTCATTTTTGTAATACTTTCATCTAAAAGCAAACCAGATAATTTACAATATCAGGGAAACTGAAAATAACGAGTAAATATCCGTTTTCTGGTCTTTGACTTCACCCAATTTTACTGTTTAAGTTTATCGATATCTTTGGTTTGTTTTTACCAATTTTGTACTTTCACTTTTCCCTCAAACCTGATCCAAGCATGATTAAAAGGTGATTTAAGCTCAAATCAATTGAAATCTCTGAAAATGGATTTATTTCTGAAACCTTACCCAAAGCTTAACGGTTGTAAAAGAGATCATCAAATATTGATCAGAAGTTCATTAAAAATTCATTGACCAAGGCACTGTTTTGGGTTTTGGTTATCTCATTGTTTAATTATTTTCTTGTAACTAAATGTGAGAAAATTGATTCAGATTTCAACAAATACCCAAAACTGAAAGAAACTCACAAGCTTTTCATTTCAAATATTGATTCCAAAGTACATTTTGTGGTTGTTTGCTTTTACTTTGTGGTCAACATTTTCTGCTCATCTCAACTCAGGTTAACACAAAAAATTCATTATCATTTTTCCCTTATTGCTAATTTTAACCTTAACTTTACGAGTGATTTTACCTTATCGTAATTACTTAACCCAAGATATTCATAACCTTTGCATCCTGAGCATCCTGATCGTTAAGATTGATTGTAAATTATAATTTATTTTTTGCCACAATTAATTTATACATTTTCATCTAAATCAATTCATAGGCTGCAAATTATCAAACTTAAGAGCCCTTAAAGTGTCATTAAAAATGATATTACAAGCAATCTAAATGCATAATAATGCTAATAATTATACAAAATGAAAATACAATTTTGCTCCTGCTGAATTGAATGATGAAAAACAACATGAAAAGAGGAAAATGTCGAAAGTTAAATAACAAAATTGAAATGAATCTTGAACAATGAAAAATGTAAATTGATATCAATTACAAATGACAAAAAGCATGAAAAAAAATCAATCGACAAACAAGAGAATCTGATTATTCTGTGTTTGCTTTTACTTTCTTAATTCAAGTTAACTGAACAAAAACTGAACAAGAATTACATGATAAAATTTGACTATTGCATAGAAATGCATTTATTCATTTTACTTGTACACTGACATTGCTATTGAATAAAATGATAGTTCAAGTACAATCTTGTATAATCTTGTGGCTCTGACATTGATTCACGTATTTATGGTGAACAATTTTGCCTCCTCAAGATTCATCCATTTGAATGACTTTTCCTTAAACCGACGACAGTAATAGTAACAAATGATAAACAATAACATGAACCAAAATTGTTAACCTTGGCCCAGGAACTGGCCTTGATTCATGTAACGAGCATCCATTTTTTACGATGAAAATGATGAAGAGAAAATTGATGATCATCTTAATAATGATTATCGTCATCGTAATCATTCTGAATAAGCTCAATGAAGCAATCAGAAATGAATTTTACTCTGGATCATCAGGAAAAAATGTTTCACTCTTTCCCTCTCATCTTCACTACTTGATCATGTTATTGTATTGCCTACTGCGATCGATATGGTGAGACACTTGTAACAGTGTGACTATTGATTATCATTAGTTGTTACGGCTATTCGTTGATTTAAAGGTCACCCTACTTCCTCATCCTCATCTTTATCCTTGTTTTCCTCTTCTAATCTATTCTCCTTCATCTTCCTTTTCATCCTCATTCATCGTTCTCTTCCTTCTGTTACCTCTTTTTGTTCAAATCCTCTAATCGTTACATTCCTAAATTGAAGTAAAGTTGCTAGATGAAAGTCAGTAATCCATAAAATGTAAACTCGCAATTAATGAGCATCTTCAAATTGTACTTTAATCAAAATGCCATAAATTGGATTGTAATCAATTCCCTTTTTACCAGTATTTACTTGATAAAACTCTCATTAGTAGCCATGAAAATTATTGTCATCCACTATCAAGAAAAGTTTTGCTGATTTTTCAATTCCATATTCAATCTTGTTTAACATTTTTCAACCATTTTGACTCGCCATTTTATTGACATTTTATGTTCAAATCACTTTGCCAGTAATCAAATTTTCATATCACAATAATTTGATGAACAGGGACAATTTTTCAGCAACAGCTTCTGTAAATTATAAAATTTCAATCGATAAGAATCAAAGTCAAGTTTCAGGGTAACCTTTTCTGTTAACCAGTTTGATGCGTTTTTAGTGTCCAATTTGTTTCATTGCAACTTGATTGAGTGCCATCTGCAGTTAAACCCAACAACACACTATCAGTGACGATATGATGGATACGATTAAAATCAATGAAAACCACGATTGTCTGGCCTAATTCTCGAATAAAATCAGGCTAATTATCCAAAGTAAACAGATAAATCGATGGCTTAAATGTGAATCCATTTTTGTTGCCATTAAATGCAGGGTAACATTGTCTTTTAAAGACAAAAACTATCGGAAATGGGAAAAACTGTAAAAATGAATTCACTTTAAGAATTGCGTTTCTTATAAAGAGCTTCATGCTATTCAGATTGTATTTTGAATAGCTGTGACTGTAAGCTCGCTATCAACGAGTTGAACGTTATTG